AGTGCAGTGCTTTAACCAGCTGTGCCACCAGGGAGGACCCTTGTATGTATATTTTTAAAAGAAAGTTCTTTTTTTTTTAAAAAAATGTTTACTTTTACATCATTTTGTTCATTTTTTTTTTCATCTCAATTGTAACCCCCGTGGGTTTCCCATCACCAAGTCACCCGTGTGCCATGACCATAGTCCCATGCACTTCCCTCCCCCGCCACCCCCCTTTTGATCCCATTCCCCACTCCGCCCCCACAAAATGTCTCTGGTATATGGCTGTTCATCATTCTTATTATTTTCTCGCCTGGTCCATTATACTCCTGCTATGAGCAAACCATCCGGTATTTTTCTTTCTCTTTCTGGCTTATCTCACTAAGCATGATCTTTTCCAGCTCTATCCAAGTTGCTGCAAAATACATGTGTTTTTAAAAGAAAGTTCTTTTTTAAAAAAGACTTACTTATGCATACAGAACTGGGGTGCAGGCCAGAGGTGCAGGGGCAGTGAGCGTGTAACAGGGTGGTCCCTAGGAAAAGGGGAAGTACCAGGTTCCCTGCCCCACCCAGGAGGGTGGAGCTGAGCAGAGAAAAGGAGAGAAGAGAAGAAATCTGAAGAGGGAAGAAGGAAGCAGGATGGAGAGCCAGAAGGTGATCTGAGGAAGCCATATGGATCAGAGAGCATGTGAAGAAGCCATGTTTTTTTCTTGGCCCTGGACTGGTTGAAAGAGATGTGGCTGAGAGATCCATGGGGAGGGTGACTATGGTAGTGTTTATATTGATTTTTATTTTGCTCTTTTCCTCCCAGACTTGCCTGGCCATTTCTGACCCTTTTCTATGGGTCCCATCCAAAAGGTGCTTTAGTCTGTGGCAGGCTTTCAGGCTTTGTTTTGGCCGAGTCTCTTTTGGGTAGACTTTTACCCACAAGGGGATGGGTAACTTCAGGTGTCTGATTTAGAAAATATATTCTTTTCATTAAAGTCTTATATGTTTTGTCTTGATGTGACGGATGGCAGAACCTATTAGGGCAGGCAGGTTTAGAGGTTCAGGGGTGCCTCTCTCTCTCCCTGCCCTGTAACAAGAGGATTCACCAGAGATAGATCAGGGAGCAGAACAGGCGGATCAATGAAATACACTGCTGAAGGAAGCAGTAGGCAAGATAGGAGAGGTCTGCTGCACCATGAGGGTCACCTCCAGGGCTGGGGATTGAACCCCACTGAAGTGGCTGTGGTTCGCTTGCAGTGCTGCACTTTAACGCACTGTGCCACCAGGGAGGACCCTAAATTTTTTCTTGGTGAACTTTGTTATCATGGCTAAAGCACTTTGCCTAAGATAAGATTGCAAAGATTTATTACTATTATTTTCTTCTTTTGGCAGGAGAGAAAGTCTTATAGAAGTCTAGTAACATGTATATCTCTTTTACACATGGGAGAGGCCCAGTAACTTCTCCATGTGGCTTTAAACACCATTTCACATAGCTTAGCTAAAGTAAGGGAGAGTAGGTACAGTAGGAAAACAAAGGAATGCAGATTTAAGCTTTGTCTTCTCCAAGGAAAAAAGATAAGGATATTAAGTTTTTTGGGAGGTGCACTTACAGAGATAACAGATAAATATAAAAAGCTACTTGCAGTGCAGCCTTCAGAGCCCATTCCATGAAATAATCTTGCTAAAAAGACATCTTGGAGTGCTAGCTGTTTGCTTCCTAGCTCTTTGGTCCATTCTGAGTTAATTTTATGAGGTAGGGAGCTAATCTTGTTGAGGAATGTCCATCTTAAGTCTTGTAATCTATATCAAAAGGATACGACTGATGGTTGATCAGTGAGCTGAACTTGGGCAATTTAGTACATAAAAAGGACAGGTTCCATGTCCCCTGACCCACCTAATAAAAGTGGAGCAGAGCTCCAGAGGGAAGCTAGGGAGAGACCTGTAGGTGGCAGACACCTATAAGGAAGAAGGGTGCATGTGCATCCCAAACTTGCACTTACATCAGAGTCATAGAAGGAGACATGTGGCGATGAGACATGGAGAGACACTGGTGAGAGAACTGTGAGAGGCTGACAATGGCAGCTAACTACCTTAATGTGTACTGTGATTTTGCTCCTTTTGTCCCACACTTGTCTAGCACCTCTGCCCCTTTCCTATGGTTCTCTGCCAGGAGGTTTCTTAGACTTGTGGCAAGTTCTCAGGTCTTGGAAGCTCCATTATGGGCTAACCCTGTTTGATCAGGCTTATACCCACAAGGAGACAGGTAACTTCTGAATGTTTATAAAACTATATTATTTCTTCTCTTCCTCAGATACTAATTCCATTAAATTTCTCTTAAAGAATGTTTTGTCTTTATCTGGCAGATGGCAGATTCTCTTTTGGGAGTACAGGTTTGGGGGTCTCAGACTACAAGCTACCAAACTGAGACTCCTTACCTACTCTGCTCATATATAAGTTGCCTTGCTTATATCAACCTAAAGTGGTCTGCCTCTCTTGTCAGTCTCTCCTTGCCCTCCTATAAGAAGACCAGTTTGGAATGTCATTCTGGAGCTCCAGAAGTTACAAATTAAAGCTTTTCTTCTGTATGTGGCTATTCAGTTGTCCCAACATCTTTTGTTGAAAAGACTAATCTTTCCCTTCCCCAAAGACTTTTTTTTTGCACTCTTACTGAAGGGGCAGATTTTAAATGACAGAGCCAGTGGAGGTTGGTGGGGGCTCTTCTAAAGAACTTTTATTGTAATTTTGGTCTTCCATTTCTGCTTAGACTTAGCTTGGGGGGAGGGGGAGTGCTCTTGCTCCTGCTCTGACTTTGGCAGGAAGCATGATCTCATTCTGAGAGATGTTGGTTGCCATCTTAACCTCCTGGTAGATTCAGATTGGGCAGTGTATTTTGAACTTTGGTTCTCTCTGCTTCTCCCAGAATTTTTGATCCTGCACAACTTCTTGCTTATATTTCCTACTGGGAGACTGCCTTGGAGACTGAGATTGGTGGCTCCACTCTCAGGCCTTGGCCACTCTCCCTTGGGCCCTGCCTACTTAGTTGAAGATTTGTCTGTAAGGCAATGTTTGATTCTGTGGTTTGATCAAGAGTCTGTATTTTGAAATCCTTCCTTACCCTACTCCTTTCCTGCCTTTGTAGTGCCTTTGATTCTCCCACTGATTAAAAATCCCCAGATACTCTAGCATTTGGGTTTGATTAACTTGCTTTTATGTACAGGTGGGTATGAATCCTTAAAACAGGCAATATGGTTTTTTCCCTTTAATAGTTTGGGATCCCTGGCAATGCCTGAGTTTTGCCTGGTTGGAGACAGAGGCATTACTTTAATGATTCTCATTTTCACCCACTGACCTATACTACTAGTCTCACCTATTAACATCGTGTCTTAATTACTTTGTTCTTTCTGAGATTGCTTTGACTGTTCTGGGCCTCTTGAATTTCCCTATGTTCTTTGGGATCAGTCTGTCAATTTCTACCTAAAAAAACTACTGGGGCTTTAACAGGGATTACACTGAAGCTACAGCTCAATCTGGGAAGCAATGTCCATCTTAAATTTTGTAATCCATGAACTTGTAATGTCTTTCCATTTATCCAGGTCTTCTTGAATTCACATGCATTGTTACAAAATTAAATCCACACTCTTCCAGTATTATCTAATATATCTGCAGACCTCCCTCCTTATTTAGCTGTTACTAAAATGCGAATATATATGTATACATAAACACACACACATATATTTTTATATGCTGCCCATTTTTAAGAGAAATGTGAGGACTGTCAAGGACCTAAGGTTTTTCTATTTTGGGGGAATGCCTTTAATTATTTAAGGTTAAATTTTCTAAGCATCTTTTGTATAAAATTCATTAAACAGCCACTAAATAGATTGATTTTTAAATAAAAAAAGGATGATCATTTAACTTACACATTAACACACAGCCATATATATAGTATACAAGTATGTATGTACACAAGAGCACAGAAAACAAAAGGAAGAAAATACACCAATTTATTACAGTGGTTACCTCTAGAGAGGTAGAAGCAATGGAATAGAGAAGAAAAAGGGGACTGGTGCTCTTTACTTAAGTTTTTATCCCCATAACATTTTTTTCATGTATTTTTGGTGTCTTTCTAAACTTGAATAACATTAAGTTCCCAGCAAAAAAAAAACATTAAGTTCCCAGCAAAAAAAATTTTTTTCCCAATTTCTATGACACTAAGAGTAAATAACCTGGCTGACCTTTAGATCACAAGTGGTGTTGAGCAGCAGGTTGGAGGGTTTGAGGTCACGGTGCAGAACATTAGCTGAATGGATATATTTTAACCCTCTGAGGATCTGGTAAAGAAAATAGCAGATATGGTCATTGCTGAGGTGTTGTGTCTTCAAGAGTTTGTAGAGATCTGTTTCCATGAGGTCCTGTACTATATATCTGTTTAGACAGGTTAAGGTAATACACCAGATAGTTACACTTGGAAAGCACTGCAAACAAAATGAACCTTTCCCCCAAATGGTCCATTTATTGTATCATGGAGGGAAATGACTGGTGAAATTTTGGTATGTCTTATTAAAGCAATCTGAAGTAGTTAACTATTTTTTAGGTCCCATGAGACAAGGCATTATACCTTCCTGATCTGACTGATTAAGGATCTAGACTTAGACCTGAAACCAGTTGTTATAGAAATATTGGCCATCCTCCTTATTCTCCAGTCCACCATCAACAAAGCCTCTCCAAGTCTTGCTGGAAAGGCAGAAAGAGGACAGTGGCCAGCAAGCATCTCCTCTATTTGGCTGGACAACAACTTGTAATAATTCTGTTTTCTTACATCTCGTCTTGTTTACATCTCGTCTTCCTTCAAAAATCAAATGTAAAATGTTTGGAAATATAGGCCTAGCACAAATTGCTACTAAACTCAACCTTCCATCAATTTTTTGTTCGACTCTTCAGTTAATGTTAAGACCCTAAAAATGTAAGAGTATGGGAAAGTTATACTAAGAGGGTGGTTGTGCCAAGTTTTGCACTGCTTGCTTTCTTGCCTACCTGCGCATCTAATTTTTCATTTTTAAACTCTACCATATTTTATTAGCAGTACTTTTGCACTTACTTATTTCTGCGTAAATATTATTTTATGACTCTACAGATTCATGCTAAATGAAACATAATATGGAATTCAAAGGAAACATGACTTGACAACCTGTCAAATGAAACTTGGTTTTCACGACAAATGTAAAGCTTGGACCAACTGATGGCAGCTAGCAAGAGGTATTTCATTTAAAATATCACTATTACTTAGTAACAGAACTGTTTAAAAATGGAAAGGGCTGCTTAGAGACAGTGAGCTGCTTTTTCCTAGAGGGGCAGAATACAAATTAGGACAACTGGTAGGAATTCTGTACCAACCAAAACTATTCTGACAAATCCTCTTCAGTATACTTAATGCCTCTATTTTTAAGATGTAGTACTTATCCTGTAGTATTATTTCAGATGAATATTTATCCTCTGGATCTGTTTAGTTCCTATTTCTAAAGGTTGGTCATAATTAAATTCAGAGACTAGTCAGTCTTCAAGACCATCAGGGTTATTAGGTTTATTCACTTATTTTTTATGTAGAAAAGTGGGGTGTAGGCCAGAGGTGTGGAGGGTTAAGAGGATTCACCAGAGACAGAATGGGAAACAGAACAGATGGACTGACTGAAATACACTGATGAAGGGAGCAGCTGGCGAAGCAGGAGAGGTCTGCTGCACCAAGTGGGCCAGCCCCCGAGCTGGGGACTAAACCCATGCTGCAGTGGCTGCGTTTAGTTTCATAGTGCTGAGACGCAATCCCCTACACCACCAGAGAGGGCCCTGTAATAGTTTTATACTCAAGTATCATAAACTACTATATAGGATTTAGAAAATAACATCCACTTTAACTAGCATTTTAATTCCCTACCTCGAAGAAATAGTAAAGGTTTCTTTTAGGAAGAAGATTCAGATTTACAGAAATAGACTGCTAAAGGAAGAAGCAGGGGAGACAGGAGATGTCTGTTGCACCATATGTGGGTATAAACTCCCTGGCTGGGGATCGAACTCAGATTGTAGTGGTGATAGTGCTGAGACTTAACCGCTAAGCCACCAAGGAAGGCTCTATTACTTTTACTTTAAAAAACTGAGAACTAAAGGTCAAATGATATTGTCTAAGGACAGGACATAGTCTTGATTTGAATGGGTGATACCTAGCACATCCTTTCTCAGTCTACTGTTTTTTCCTTTTCCTCTTCCCATAACAGGCCAGACATTAAATGAAAAAAAAAAAAAAAAAAGACTGAAAATGAAAATTTTGTACCAAGTTTTCTCTTAACTATACTTAAAGGAAACTTTTCTTAATCTGACAGAGAAAATATTGGATTTGCCCAAAAAGACAATAAAAATTACTGACAACTGACATAGTGAATCAGAGAAAAAATTTAAATGATGCAAGTATAACAAATAGCAATCAGATTACAATTTCCCCTTGAATGTGCTTAATGTGCTTTTCCTTTACTCTGAAGAGTCCATGAAATTTCAAGTTACATTTATTTTTAGCAAAGTAAACAAGGAATTAGATGCTTAAAAAGGATACACATCTTTCATTTGCTCGATGGTGGGTGCTCGAATAATATCATTAATTCCAATGATGTTCTCATGTCTGAAGCGCAATAAGATTTTTATCTCCCTCAGGGTTCTCTGGCAGTAGGTCTGGTGCTCAAAAGGACTGATTTTCTTGATAGCTACCCGAACTTTGTTGACATTATCATAAGCAGAGCTAAAAGGAAAAAAAAAGGAGAGGGGAGAAATGACATTTAAAAACAGTTCTTACATTGTGACTAAAAGAATTCAAATTGGTAAAGTATTAAATATTTAGCATTCTGGGTAAATACTTTAAGGCAGCATATATATTATCCACAAGGAGCCCTCAAGTTTGGGTGTGACAGAGCTGGCACAAAGAAGCACATACTGACCATGGCTTTAGTTACTGAGATGCCCAATTTCAAAAACCCAGGAACACGTGTTTATCTTTAACTTCTACATGAAGCAACTGATCACCATTTGAAATGTATGGTTACTGAGAAGAATAGTTAAGCCCAATTGTCAGCAAACAAAATCTTGATTTCTAACAGATATATTCTGACTCAACAACATGGGCAGCTATACAGTTCTCTCTCTCACACACACCCACACCCACACCCACACCTTATTTTTCCATTGTTTTGTCAGTAACTGCATTCTGGTGAAAGTGATCATTTCTCTCTAAAAAATGTTGTAAGTTGTATTAGATTTCTCTCACTATGCAGAAACATTCAAATGAACATCAACCATATTTTCACCCCTAGATGAAATGCCTTTACCTCAAATAGAGATAATTTTGCCTCAATAGCAAAATGTCATAACTCTATTTCAAGAAATTTAATTCAAATGTTTGGGTAGTCTTAGAAACAAAATCTATGAAGTTTATAAAATCTAAACTAGGACTCAGTTCTTCCCAAGTTGTCTTTAGGGTCCCACTTTAAATAGAGTTTAAGCTCTTAATATTAATAAATACCAATATTAATATTAATAAATATCTGATCCATTGACCAAAGCAATGAAACAAAACTGATAAGGCAATACGATTATTTCTCATCTCCTTAGGAAAATGCTAGAGACACGAAACAGAAAAATAAGTTTAATGATATATATCAGTTTACTTATTCTGAGTCACAACCTGAATTTGTCTATGTCTCCATTACAAACTGTGTTATGGCAGGGACCTTGTCTTACTCAATTTCAATTCTCCTATCCCACTATTAATACATGGCACACAGGTGCCCCCAACACAGTAAGTCCTTACATAACATCATCAACAGGTTCTCAGAAATTGAAACTAAACGAAATGATGTATAATGAAACCAATTTTACCATAGGCTAACTGATAATAAACAATAGTTAAGTTGCTACAGCATATTTCTGGTCACAAACATATTACCAAACTTCAAAAGTAAGGTAGCATGAACAGACATTTCTCCAAAGAAAGTATGGTTAAAAAAGCAAAGGAAAGGCTGTTCAAATCACTAGTGTCACTAATCATTACCGAAATACAAATCAAACTGCAAGATCTAACCTCACACTCATCAAGACTACCAGTGTTTAAAAAAAAAAGTAAACAGATGACAAGTTTCAAAAGATTGGACCTTTGGGCACGTTGGGAAATATAGGTAGTGCAGTCACTATTGAAAACAGATTTGGAATTCCTAAAAAATTAAACTCAGAACTCAGAACTACCCTGTGATGCAGAAATCCCACTTCTAGGATATATCCAAAAGAATTCAAAGAGAAATTGGTTCACTATAGCATTGTTAGCAATAACAAATTAAAAAGCCTACAGCAAATATAGTAGGGGGAAAAAAGTGTCTCACATACACACTTAACAAACACACAGGAATGTTATTTACCCTTAAAAGAGAAGGAAATTGTATCACATGCGACATCATGGATGAACCTCATTAACATTACATTAAGTGAAATAAGTCAGTCACAAAAAGATGAATACTCTATAATTCCACTCGTGTAATATCTAAATTTTAGTAGGATGCCGGCTACCAAGGTATGCAGGGAGTGGGTAATGAAGAAGTGCTTGTTACAGTTTTTCAAGATGAAAAAAAATTCTGCTTTTAAAAATTCTCCTGTTAAACATAATGCAAATACACTCAAATCTTACTAAGCTGCATACTTAAAAATAGTTAAGTGGTAACTTTCACATTATGCGATTTTTATTGGATTAAATTTTAAAAAATTAATGGGAAAAAGACAGATTAAAGAGGAAAAAATTAAGTTTGAAAGATGTCAAAAAAGAATGGTAGTAGTTACATAAATCTACAGACACTAAACACACATTACACAGAGTGCAAATTAAACTTTCAGTGATATGACTGAGTACTATGCAGAGTATCTACATCTATCTGGTATTGTACTATAATACAAAATGTTACCATTGGGGTAATGTGGGATCTCTTTATTACTTCTTACAACTGAATGTGACTCTACGATGAAAAGTTTAATTAAAAAAAAAAAGTCCATCAACAGGGGAATAACCACAGAGTAGAATACTATGCAGTTAAATAAAGGAATGTGAAAAGATCTTCAAAATATACTAAGTGAAAAACAGTAATGTTGGACAGTAGATAATCTTTTTTAAAATAATGAAAGTGAAACATATATTAACTTTTGTTTGAGTTTACATAAAGTTTACAGAAATCAGAAATGAAGGGCCTTCCCTAGTGGCAAGGAATCAGACTTAGTGCTATCACTAATATGGCCAGAGTTCCAACCCCCACCAGGGAGGTGACCCACATGGCACTGCTGACCTCTCCTATCTTGCCTGCTTGTCCCCTCAGCAGTGTATTTCAGTACAGCTGCCTGTTTTGTTCTCCACTCTGTCTCTGGTGAATCCTCTCACTCCCTGTACCTCTGGCCTATACCCCAATTCTTGTATGCATAAATAAATAAATTAAAAAGAGAGAGAGAGAAAATACTCCTTAAAAAAGTCTGAAATGATACACAAATGTATGATAGTTGTGGAGGGAGGAGACCGGTTTTAGGCAGGAGTAGAATACATAGGGGAATAAACAAAATCTTTCATTATTGTTTCTAGTGCTTTGATTTAAGAGTTATGTGACCTCTTCAAAATAAATGAAAAAAAAAAAAAAAACACTAGTAAGGACACTGGAAAACATGTTACTTTATGTAGGAGAAAGCATAATTATTTGGACATTCCTGACTTTTACAAAGGTATCTGAAAAATAAAAAAACTTGGAGTAAGGTATAAAATTTAAGTTTGCCCCCACACCTGAGAGAATAAATTTTGAAAGTGGAATTGGGTATAACACTTAAATCTGACCAACAGTCCTACACATACAAAGACACCCGAATAAACGGGGAAACTTTGGGTTAGTGACTTCTTTGTACTACAGGCAGTATTAACAATATACAAAGATTATAAAAAATAATCTGTCCTGAAGAAGTTCAAGCTATTGACAGTATCCAGTCATCTTACATAAATGTAGCTTCAAGTCCCCAATGAGTTCTACCCCGAGATCCACAAATCCAGGAAATGGGAGGAAGGCAAGGGTAGAACATAGAAATTGAGCGTAGACTCCCACTACTTATCAGGAAGAGGAAATGAAATTGAGAGCAGGAACATAGATGCATCTTAAAATCTGTGTTGACATCAGACAAAAAGAAAAGCACTTCCATTCTTAAAAATACAAACTCTTCTGGGAGACAGAAAGTAGATTAGCTTCTGGGAGAGAGGATATTGGGAAGGAAGAACTACACAATAGAAACAGGGTAATTTAGGTGATGCATAGATTCATTATTTTAATTGTGTCGACTTTCAAAGGTATAGGTGTATGTCAAAACTTGCCAAAGTACACTTTATATAAATAAATCTCTTTGTGTGTGTGTGTGTGTGTGTGTGTGTAAATTACTTCTCAAGAAAGCAGTTTAAATAAAGGAACCAGGGCCGATGGCTCCTTGGATTAGCAGTTGATTCTAGGCCTAGGGTTGAAGAGCCATATTGGGTAGGACCAGCTCTTCATATTGGGTAGGACCAGATCTGACTAGTAAATGTGGAAGTAGATGTCCACAGGATCCTGGAGTAGATTATTTAACAGATGTTTTGTGATCACAAAGGGAAGGAAAGGGAACCAGCATGAGTCAATTATGAAGTCATTCCAAACTAACTTTATTTCCTGTTTTGACAGGGTTACCACAGAAACAGTAATGTTGAAAGTGACCTCAGAGTTGTGGTGAACTCAACATACATACTTGCCAAGAACTGCCCATTTGTAAGATTTCAATTTGTAAGATTTCAATCATTTACCAATGACTGATGGTAAAGACAAATATTCCTGCTTTTAAGCTTGCAATTTAATGAGGGAAGGAGAAAGAAACAGAAACTATACAATACCTTTAACACAGTGAGGTATTTCTAAAATAAGGAAACAATGGGTAGATTAAGTCTCAAAATAAGGGTACAAGAAAATGAGAGAGAAGTCCATGGGGATTACCACTGAGGTGGGAAAAGGCACAAAATGATGTAAAAATAAATTATTAAAAAAAATGAGGACTACAGAAACCATATCCTGAAAGATGATTAGGCTTTTATTTAAAAAAAAAAATTTATTTATGCATACAAAAGCTGGGGTGTAGGCCAGAGGTGTGAGAGGTGCGAGGATTCATCTAAGATAGAAGCAGATCAGGCTGATCTACTGAAATACACAGCTGAGGAGAACAGAGGATGAGGTAGGAGAGGTCTGCTGTGCCACATGGATTAGCTCCCAGGCTGGGGATGAACTGATGCAGTGACCGGAGACAGCTTGTAGTACAGGGACTTTAATCCCTGCACTACTACCAGGGAGAACCCAGATGACTGGGTTTTTAAAAGAGGCAAGGGCACAAAGACAAAAACCAACACATGTAAAAGAAAACAACCAGGGCATCTATGGATATTGGTGGCTTTCACGATTCATGCCCTTTTCTCATGAGATTTTAGGGTCCTGGGAACCTATCCATTAGAAGTCCCAGAATTCCCTGTAGCTTGAGTACTTTTTCCAAGGTTATGTAGGTTTTCTGCATGGTGGCTCTGCCAAGAATAGAGCACTCCTCTAGTGTGTGTACTGCAAGGGGTGGCCAAGGGGAAGCTATTTGCCAGGAGTGTGCTTGGACTGTCAAGCTGATTGCCCATGCTCACAAGCTCAAGCTAGTGTAGGGCACAGCTCTAGTAAC